CTAATGAATCTGATAGAGACACATTCTCAGCCCGGGACGACACTAATAGAGAAAAGGCATGATAATATTATTATTGTCGTTAATGTTGTGCTTATTCACAATTGCACTGTATGCCTACCTCTATAGACACCATTATTAATGCTATATATGTATCTTCTATCTTGATCAAATGTACATGTACCTGTTATTTTTATTTTTGTGGACCAAAAACAGTTTATCAGTGGAGCCTGCAGAATTGCAGTTACATGTACGTTGTGGTATATAATATTATAACTTTTATATATTTGTGGGAAGATTTAGTTAAATTATTCCTTGCATTGTGCCATAAAAGTAATTTAAAAGCATTGAAGTTTAAATCATTTGCCATCCATGTAAACTACTATTTTTTTATTTGTTTCTGATATATCAATCAACACTAATTATTCTTTGCTGTACTATTATGTATACTGTTTTTATCTTTTAATCTGTCTTCTCTAATAATATCAACCAACAATAATGAAACTGTTATCTTTGTCACACAATAGGGAGTAAGTCATAATGTGTGCTATAGCTATTTACATTTTATATATTTTAATCTCTTTTTCTCATCGATTAACATTGATTGAACTGTTATCTTTGTCACAAATAAGAGAGTAAGTTGATCATAATGTGTACTATTATTTACATTTTATCTTTCTCTCTAATACTAATCAACAATATAATTTAACTGTTATCTTTGTCACACGTACAATAGTGGGTAAATACTTTTATATATTTTATCTTTTAATCTGTTGTTTTCTTTCATATCAATATTGATTGAACTGTTATCTTGGTCACATAATAGTGGGTAAGTCATAATGTGTACTATGATTTAGATTTTATTGATCTGTCTTTCTCTCTGCTGTCAAAATAATTAAACTATTAACAATAGACAGTAAGTCATAATAATCGAGTACTGCTATTCACATTTTATATCTTTTTGTTTGTCTTGATTTTCTGTCTGAATATTTGTCACACAATAGGCAGTAAGCCATTATGTGTACTCTTATTGATATTTTTCCCTTTTAATCTATCGTTCTCTGTCAACAATATATCCTTTTCATACAATATAGGCAGTAAGTCATAGTAATATTTTTACATTATATCTTTTACTTTCTGATTACATTCAACAATAATTAAACTGTTATCTTTACATAAAAATAGACAGTAAGTCACAATGTGTACTATTATTTTGTTTATCTTTCTCTCTCAACAACAATTAACCTGTTATCTTTGTCATGCACACAATATAGATAGTAAGTAACTACTATTTATTATATTTTGTATCTTTTGACCTTTGTTTCTCTTTCTTTGTCACACAATAGATAGTAAGTCATATTGTATATACTATTTTAACTCTTTTCTGATATTATTAAACTGTTACTTTGTCACACAATAGACAGTAAGTCTTAATGTGTACTATTATTTACATTTTATATTTTTAAATCGTCTATCTTTCTCTCTGATATCAATCAACAATATTTAAACTGTTGCCTTTGTCACACAATAGACAGTAAGTCATAATGTATACTATTATTTACATTTTATCTTTTAACCTGTTTTTCTCTCTGATATCAATCAAAAATAATTAAACTGCATGTTGTCTTGGTCACACAATAGGCAGTAAGCCATAAATGCATTATTGCATTTTTTTATTTTTTAATCTATCTTTCCTTCTGTTATCAATCAACAATCATAATTGAAATTTGTCACACAAGATAGTAAGTCATAATTTATATAACCTATATACTATTTATCTTTCTTTCTGATATCAATATCTTTGTCACGCAATAGTTTGTAAGTCATAATGTATAATAATTTTTAATCTGTTTTCCTCTCTGTTATCTATCCATAATAATTTAACTGTTGTTTTGGTCACACAATAGCCAGTAAGTCATAAGGTGTACTATTATTTACACTTTGTCTTTTAATCTGTTTTCTCTTTCATATCAATCAACATAATTAAACTGTTATTTTCGTCATGCAATAGCCAGTAAGTACTATTATTGACATATTATATCTTTTACTCTAATATTTATCAACAACAATAATTTCTTTGTAACACATTAGGCAGTAAGTCATAATTTGTTCTATTATTTAAATTTTATAATTATTTTAATCTACCTTTCTCTCTGATATCAATAAACAATAATTAAACTGTTATCTTGGTCACGCAATAGGCAGTAAGTCATAATGTGTACTATTATTATTGATATTTTATATTTTTATTTGTTTTTCTCTTTTATATCAAAATAAATTTATTCTGGTACGCAATAGATCGTAAGTCATAATGTGTACTATTATTTCATCTTTTAATCTGTCTTTCTTTTTGATATCAATCAACAATCAAATAAACATTTTTGTTGCACCATAGATAGTGAGTCACAACATGATATATATGCTATTTTTAATTTGTTTTTCTCTGATATCAATCAATAATAATTAAACTGTTAATTTACAATAGCCAGTAAGTCATACTTAATCTGTAATATTATGTATCAATCAACTATAATTAAACTGCTATCTTTGTCACACAATAGGGAGTAAGTCATAATGTGTTTACATTTTGTTTTAATCTGCTTTTCTCTCTGGCAATATTCAAACTGTTGTCTTTGTCACAAAATAGGCAGTAAGTCATAATGTGTACTATTATTTACATTTTATATCTTAATCTCATTTGTATCAATTAAAAATTATTCAATTGTCACAATAGATAGTAAGTTATATTATTATTGTCTTAATTTTAATATTCCTCTCTCTCTGCCATAATTATATCTTTGTCACACTTTAGGCAGTAAGTGTACTATTATTTACATTTTATCTTTTTAATCTTTTTCTTTCTTATCAACAACAATTAAAACTTATTTTTATCACATGATAGTTTGTAAGTCAATCATTATACTATTATTTGCATTAAATTTTCATCTTTTTCTCTTTGATATCAATTTGTCGCACAATAGTATGTAAGTTTAAGTGTAATGTGTACTATTATTTATCTTTTAATTGTCTATTTATATGGTGTTTCTATCTGATATCAAACTGTTAATTTTGTCATACCATAGTATGTAAGTTATAATGTGTATACTATTATTTGATTTTTAATCTGTCTTTCTTGATCTCTCAACTATATATCACACAATAGGGAGTAAGTCATATCAAAAAGTGTACTATTATTTAAATTTGATTTTTAATTTGTCTTTCTCTTTCAACCATAATTGAACATAACGAGTAGTGGGTATGTCAGAATGTGTAGTTACATTTGATTTTATCTGTCTTTCTCTCTAATATCAATCAACAATAATTTAACTATTTTCTTGGTCACACAATAGGGAGTAAGTCATAATGTGTACAATTATTTACATTTTATCTCTTATTTACATCTTTTTCACCGATATCAATCCTGCAATAATTGTCACACAATAGGACGTAAGTCAATTATGTGGACTATTGTTGACACTTTAACTTTTTAATCTCTTTCTCTCTGTTACTTTTGTCACACCTAGTGGGTAAGTCATAGTGTGCACTATTATTTATATTTTATATCTTTTAATCTGTCTTTCTCTCTGGGTATTAATCAACAATTGTCACGCAACAGGATGTAAGTCAATTGTTATGTGTATTGTTATTTAAATTTTACTGTTTCATTTGTTCTTAATTCTCTCTGATGTTAAATCAACAATGATCAATAGGCAGTAAGTCACAATGTGTTGATATTTATTTTTAATTCTTCTAATGATAATTATTATCAAACAATAGAATGTAGGTTGTACTATTACTGAAATTTTATCTTTTAAACTGTCTATCTCTCTAACGTCAATTGACAATAATTACTCTATTGATTTTGTGACACAATAGACAGTAAGTTATAATGTGTTCTATTATTTACATTTGATTTTTTTTCACTGATATCAATCAATAATATCTTTGTCACACAATTAATAATATAGAGAGTAAGTCATAACGTGTATATACTATTATTATTCACATTTTATATTTTAATAATTTATTCTCTCTAATAAATATCAATCAACAATAATTAAACTGTTATTTTTGTCACACAATAGAGAGTAAGTCTTTACTATTTAAATTTTATCTTTTAATTTATCACTCTCCGATATCATTAAATGATAAATGAACTCACACAATAGAGAGTAAGTCATAATATACCATTATTTACATTTTACATATTAATCTGTCTTTCTCTCTGATATCTAATTAAACCTATCTTTGTCACACAATAGGCAGTAAGTCATCATTTGTACTAAGTTTATTTACATTTTATTTCTTAATCTATCACTCTCTTTAATAAAATGAATGAACTGTCACAGAGAGTAAGTCACAATATGTACTATCATTATTTACGTTGTATCTTTTAACCTGTCATTCTCTCTGATACAATAAATGACTTGTTATCTTTGTCACACAATAGAATGTAAGTCAAAATGTGCACTATTACCATATTTACTATTGAGGAGCAAAACTTTTACAGTTTTCATGAATTAGCATGCAACCATGAAACTAAAGCTCTATTAAATATTCAGTTGCCCATTAAAGGCATGCATGGTACTAACACCTGAAATTGCAATAAATTCATTTTTATAAATCTGTGAAAGTGTAATATGCTCCTTGAAAATAAAGCACTAAACAGTATTTATCATAATTGATATCAATTGACAATAATCTTTGTCACAAAATAGGCAGTAAGTCATAACGTATACCATTATTACATTTGATCTTTAATCCTGATATCAATCAACTGTTACCTTTGTCATGATACATAGACAGTAAGTACTATTATTTACATTTTATCTTTTAATCTGTCTTTCTCTCTGATATCAATCAACAATGATTAAAATGTTACCTTTGTCACACAATAGTTCGTAAGTCATAATAAGTTCTATAGTAGTTACATTTTATCTTTTATTCTGTTGTTTTCTCTAATATCAATAACTATATTTATATCTGTTATTTTTGTCAAACAATAGAAAGTAAGTACCATTATTTACATTTTATTTTTTATCTGTGCTCTCTTTCTCATATCTATCAACAATAAAATTTGTGATCTTTGTTGCACAATAGATGGTAAATATAATGTGAAGTGTTACTTACATTTTTATTTTTAAATTTGTTGTTCTTTTTCTAATATCAAAAAACTATTTTTTGTCATACAATAGAGAGTAAGTGATAACATGTACTCTTTTACTATTATTATTTACATTTTATTTCTTCTTGATATCAATCAACAATAATCTTTAGGAAGTAAGCAATGTGTACTATTATGTACTTTTATCTTTATTCTGTCTTTATCTCTGATATCAATACCAATCAACAATGATTGAACTGTTATCTTTGTCACACAACAGACAGTAAGTCATAATGCGTACTATTATTTACATTTTATTCTTAAATCTGTCATACTCTGATATCAATCAAAAATATATCTTTTTCACACAATACGTTTAGATTGTAAGTCGTACTACTAACATTTTATATTACTTAATTTGTTATTCTCTCTCTGATATCAATCAACAATAATTACACTGTATTTTTGTCACACAGCAGAAAGTAAGTCATAACGTGTACTATTATTTTCATCTGCTTTTTATTTCTCTGGAACTGTTTTTATCAGGAAGTACATGTAAGTCATAACATGTAATATTATTTTTTAATCTATTTTCTGCCTGATATCTATCAACAATAATTAAACTGTTATCTCAGTCTGTCACACAACAGCAAGTAAGTCGTAATGTGTACTACTATTATTGGGGTGAGCAAAAGCAAACCCACATTGACGAATAGTCTTTCACTCACCTAAGTCACCTTGTTGGTTTTCAGTATGATTTGTTGCTTTTCATGCATTTGTGTTGCAAGTGGGACTAAATTTTTAGTAGTAAGATAAGCTGTCAAAAGACAGGCAGTGAGATTTAGGGTATAGAAATTAGTCCAGCAAGCTAATGAAAGTGTTTAAAAAAGTTGTGACGTGTGTGTCAACAAGATTGATGCATGAACAGCTAAATTAATTTAAGTAAAAGTTAAATATTATTGCTTTGCCTGCAACATGCTCAATTTTTACATTAATCTTGTTTACCTTTTATGCTTTTTCCCCTAAAATAATAATTGAAATTTTATCTTTTTCATCTGTTACATAGGAAGTAAGTGTTATTTTCTTTATTTTAATTTTCTTTCTCTCTCTGACATCAATCAACATAATAATCATTGTCCCACAATACAATAGGAAGTACATGTAAGTCATAATATGTATTGTTATTAAATTTTATTTTTAATCTGTCATAAATAGACAGTAAGTCATAATGGCTACACAGTTAATCTGTCTTTTCTCTCTTCAACAAAAATTAAACTGTTATCATTGCACGCATTCAATAGAAAGTAAATGATGATTACATTTTATTTTTAAATCTGTAATTCTCTCCAATACAATAATTAAACTTGTCACACAACAGAGAGTAAGTAATATTATAATTGTATGTACTAATTACTGTTGTATTATATTTTTAATTTTAATCTCTTGATATCAATCAACAAAATCTTTGTCACACAACAGAGAGTACGTGTAAGTGATGTACTATCATTTACATTTTAATCAATTTTTTAAATCTATTGTTCTTTCTCAATATCAATTATCAATAATTCAAACTGTTACCTTTGTCACATTCACAATAGGAAGTAAGTCGTGTGTATTAAATTTTATGGTTTAATTAATCTGTCATTTCCTCTGACATCATCAACATAGTTAAATTGTTATCTTTATTGTACCATAGAAAATAAATAATAATGTGTACTACTACTATATATTATTTACTATTTACATTTAATTTTTAATTTCTCCAACAATTACGAAACTCTTATCTTTATCACACCATAGGAAGTATGTACCAGTATTTACTCTTATCTTTTAAATCTGTTTTTCTTTCTTTGATATCAATCAAACTATTATTTTCATCACTCATTAGGAAGTAAGTCATAAATAATGTAAGCTACATTTATCTTTAATGTGTCATTCTCTCTTATTCTGATATCAATCAAAATTACTGTATGGCAGGTTCATCTGGTTCTTAATATTAATGAAGCACATTCAAATTTTTACATGCACTTTCCACAAAAATGGAAATTTTGACCCAACAAAGGAAACCTGCTGTACAATATATAGCCTTATAGCATGTATTGTAAATTTAAAAGGTTTAGAACCAGAATAGGAAGACAAACGTTCCCCAAAATTATTACATGTATATATTTACACAACAGAAAAATTCTCAGTTAATGATTTTCAAAATGTCAGCTAATATACAATGGCATAATTTACATTTGATAAACTACACATTATTGATGAATGCTATGTATCTAATTTGACTGGATTCAAGTTTTAAATAATTTAAAAACTGGACATACATGTATTTAACACTCCATTAAACTTGATTCTGCTTCCTTGAAATCGCACTACATAATTGCAGTTAGCCTGTTTATAAGCCCTAGCTAAGATGATTTAGTCCCCAATCCATTCTCTAACTCTATTAATTTTTTCTATTTTTAGAAAGAAAAAAGAATTGAGGCTTACAAAAGGGCACTAGCTGAAGGAGCAATGGATGTTGCTTATTCACGTGTTCTGTTCCTGGGTACTGCTGGTGTGGGGATGACAAGCTTTAAACGTTCTCTTATGAAGTTGCCATGGGAACCTGATGCTAGTATTGGTGTATCAGATAATAGCCAACTTCGTCAATTCACACATGAGTGGCACACACTCAAGGAAGATCATTTGAGACGTGCATCACATGAGGACGAAATCAAAGAATTGGTTGGATTAATATTAGCAGTTTATGAAAAAGAACTTGATGCTACCAGTACTCCATCTTCTTGGAATTCGCGAAGTTCTCTGCCTGGAGTTATGAATACAGTTGACAATATTATAGCTGAGGTTATATCTTGCATTGAAACAATTACTCAACCAGAGGAACCACAACCATTTCTTCATTTTTGGGATTGTTGTGGTCAGCCACTGTTTCTTGAAATTTTACCAGTTTTTCTTACTTCTCGCACATTATTCTTTCTTATTTTTGATGCAGAAAAAGATTTAAAATTCAACCAAGAGGAGGTTAATATGACAACACTTGATTACATGCTCAATTGGATGGCTAACATTCATGGTCACTTAATGTCTTATGATGAACAAGGAGATTTTTGTTCATTTCCACGAATGTATTGCATTGGTACTCATGGTGATCGTGTAAAGGAGAGAAAATCTGAAATAAAAAGGGAGCTAAAACGCCATTATCGAAGAAACTTCAGAGCTTTAGTTGAAGGTACAGTAATTGTTGATAATACCACTTCTGGAAAAGGAAAGGATGAAGATTCATCTCTTCAAGCTTTAAGGGATGCTGTCATCAAATTCACAAAAGAAAAACTTGTTTTAAAAACACCTCTTAGTTGGATTCTATTTCGAAAAGTCATTCAAGTTCTGAGCAAGAAGTATAATGTCATTAGTTTAAAAGATGCTTGTATCATTGGAGCTGCTAGTAAAATTCCTCCAGAAGATGTACCTCATGCTCTTATGTTTTATCATGAACTGGGTGTGTTGCTGTTCTACCCTCAAATTGATGGCATGAAGGATAAGGTTGTTCTCAATCCAAAATATATTGTGGATGCCCTTGGAGAAATGTTTCCGTTAGGAGAAATTTTTGGCCAAGGCAGGTACTGCAATGAATGGGAGCTCTTTCATGAGTGTGGGATCCTTGTTCAACCACTTTATGTAGCATTATGGAGGAAATATAACGACATTTCACCAGAAATTTTGATTAAGGTACTTGTTCATTTCCGCATTGCTGTTGAAGTTAAGACAGATAAATATCCTCATTCCAAGTCCAAGCAATATTTCATGCCTCTTGTTCTGAAATCAGCAAAAGTTATAAGGAGCTCAATGACATTACCATCAAATTCCATTCAAGCAGCACCACTTCATATTACCTTCAATAGTGGATATGTACCTCCTGGTTTCTTCACTCGTTTTGTGGTTGTACTTACCAATACCAGAAAAATGGAACTTTGTTTTGAGAAAGATGTCTACAGAAACCGCATCACATTCCGTTATCAGGATCCCGACAGCACCACTATTGAGCATGTAATAGTCACTGACTGTCGTGATGTTATTCAGATCAATGTACAACATCATCATCATCTTGATCAAGAAGTAGTTTCCTTTACAAAGATTTGTCAAGCTATCCGAGTTCTTTTAGAAGATGCAGCAAAAGAAGTTGAAGAAATTTTAAAGGAGTGTGCCAGTGGATGGACTGATGAGAACAAGCCCACCCGATATATATTCACACACAAGTTTAAGTACGTCTGCACTAGCTGTTCTACAACAACTTCACCTCATTACATAAAACTTCCGCCAACAAATTTAATTCAGAAATCTCAAGTGTTTTGTGACAAAAATACAAATGACTACCGAGCTCTTACTGAACTGGAGAAGGTTTGGTTTAAAGACACCAGTCAGGTAAAGAATAAATTTTATCTTTTATTATTTTTTATACTTTACAATGTCTATGTAGTCAACACCAGCAACACAAATGATTATTCCGATCTTATCATTTTTATTGTTATAGTCTGACAAGAGAAGGAAAGAGGGAGTTCTTACTAGTTCTGATAAGTCTGATTATCACTCTGATGTGAAACTATTAGGTAAAGTCCTTAATTGCATGAATATTACTGATGGTAGGATAGGGTAATTTTCATTTTTTGTTGGGTTTTAAACCCCCATATAAAATACATAATACAAATTCAACTACCAGCAGCCCTATTAGATGATATGTGTGTTTAATTACTGATTTGTATACTAGTACTTTATGGCAATGGTGTCATTATTGTCATTTCTCACATAGACATTACTGATCTTGATGATGTCATTGAAGAGTTACAGTCAATTGATTACACTGAATGGAAAGACTTGGGTCTTATCTTAGGACTCTACCACAATACACTGGGAACAATTGAAGAAAAGTGTAGAGGAAATCCTAGAAAGTGTCTAACGGAGTGCATGGCTGCCTGGTTAAAGGGAGAAGATAAAGTGATGGAGAGAAGAGGTCCCAGTTGGTCATCATTAGTTACAGCACTGCTAATAATTGGAGAAAATTTCCTTGCTTTAAATATTTGTGTAAAGCATGGTATGATCTTGTCCACACATTACTAGCCATGATCATGATACCAATAAGTATCGTAGGCCATATTTTTGCTACTGTTTATTAATTTTTAAAAGATTATTACTACTAGTATTTTTTTAGCTAGTATTATTATTATTATTATAAATTAGAGAGGAAGAGAAAAAGAGAGAAGTGAACAAATAAGACATTAAATAATGAACTAGCACTAATAGTATTAGTTTTTGTAGTATTAGAGTATTTTTCTATTTTGTAGCATTAGACTTAGTACTGATTCTTTGTAATTTCACAAGTATTAATTTTACTGCTGCTTAGTCTGGCTAACTGCTGTTTTGTTGTGACTTAAAACTAAAATTTTTCATGATGTGAATGAAAATTGTAGATTCATTCATAGATTCATTGAACTGCGCATGCGTAGAAAAATTCAGCGTATATTTTATCATGATATCTTGATAAACAAGTGAGTTTACTGAGATAGATTACGGATACAACATGGAGGAAAGTGGGTCAGAAAAGTCAACCAGAGAAAAGAAAGACATATCCTTTGTAAGCTACCAAGAACTGATCCTTAACAACAATAACAATAGGAAGATGCTGACATTCCTTTTGAAGAAGAAATACTACGTCATCCTTACAGTGTAAAGTGCTGGATAAAGTACATTGAACACAAACAGATTAAGAGTGACCACGCCCACTCATCAGCAGTCAACCTAATATATGAGAGAGCACTAAGAGTATTACCAGGAAGGTATAGAATAATATTTATATTTATGCTTTGTTGTGGCAAGGGGCGATTTTAATTTATTATAAATAATCTGCCATGTTTAAGATAAATTATTGTTTTATTGTCAAAATTAAAACTGTCCTAAATGACAAAATCAGTAAAACAAACTATTTCCAGTATATATACAGTAATTATTGTAAATATTATTAATTTTATGTTTTT